AGATGCATGTAGTTACGTATGTTTCCTTGAAAGTATATATGTAGTAGCGTATATAATGATTTTGTGTAATTTGTTACTCAGAGAGGTTTTTGTATGATTCTTTTTTTGTCCGAGTCGTTTTTTTATTGTATATCGAATTGTAATTATACATTCGTTAAGTGAGTGTGTACTTTCGGCGGGAAAAGTACACATGGTAGGAATTATGTTCGCCACTGGGATGCTGTTGTGTGTCCCCCTACGGTGAATTTAGGGAATAAACATTTATTTTTGTATCTGTAACCCCCCAGATGGTCGTGTATTCGTTGAACACTGTGTATGTAAAATGTGAAACGAGGCTCGAGAACCTCGTGTGTGCTGGCTAAAAATTCGATTATTATTTCATTGCCTGATAGATCGCCATCGGATAGAGTCTATTATATAAGTGTTCACGACGCGTGACATAACCTCTGCGACCTTCTTCCCCCGTAGTCACCGCGTTCGCCATTTTTTGATTATGCTTCGCAACGATATCTTGGTTCGCAGGGCGTTGACCGTTTTCTTCTTCGTAACCCCTGATTCGCGGTGTCGGTCCTCTGAAAGTTAGATGCGTTAATTATTTTGGTAAATTGCGTATGTGTCAGATCATCCGTGAAACCGAAATTAGAAACCATACCGACGCCTTAACGAGAACGAGAGCTCGATGGCTCTACTCCACGAGAACGATATACGTCCAGTACCCCGCATGTTTCCTTTCCGACGAGATTTATATTCCGTTGTTGTTGATCGTGCCGATTTTACTCGACGTTCATTTAACACGCCCGTCACCGTCGTCGGTTGCGCTTCCTGATTGAACGTTGACCCTCTGCCGCCATCTTGGACCCCCATCCTTTAACCGTTGAAAGGAACAAACAGAGAAACAGTTTTTAAAGTGGAGACGCTTCGTTTCTGTGTCTCCACCGAATCAACTTAAAAAAATTCCAAATCTCCAGACTGTGTAAAGATTCATGTTTTTATACTCTTGTGCACAGTGAAATTTGCTTGTAATTTCATAGTTTTTCTTTCCGAATTGTCCCTGGCACCTTAATCAAAAGAGGAAGTACACTCGAGTTCGGTGGTGAGCGTGTTGAGCCATGTTTCCGTGTTGAAGATATAATACCCCCGTGATTGTTGCCGATCCAAGAGATCCGAAGTCTAATTTATGAATGTGATAGCAAAGCGCACGGGCAGAGGATTCCGTTTCTTGCCCCCCCTTGAAAGAGCCAGAAATCCCGCCCCCCAAAGGTTCTATCAGACAAACATCGCGAGTCGACGATCGCTTGTGAAAAAAATTCCCTAGGAAATTGTTTTCCCTGCCCGAGCGCGACCAAATATAACTGTATTAGCGAACGTTACAAATGAGCATTATTTATTTCTCGATTGTATTTATTATATACGTTATTCTATACATCGTTAACCGTAGTGAGTCTTAAATATAGTAGTTTACGGAAGTGTTATTGTCTGGTGCTGAGCCCACCGGTACGGCGCCTGTCGACCACGCTTGAATCGTGGGGCGCCAATTTAGGACCTATACATTATTCTTCCGTTTAACACGGTGATATATCGACGATCAACGCGTCACGCCGATTTCTTTCGTCTTAGGGGGTGGCGATTTATTGTGCAAAAATCGTTACCGCCGGATTAGCGTGCCCGAATCGGCTCGATCCTCGATCATATCACCGTGATAAAGTGGAAGGAGAAATTCCTAGTCCGCTCGAAATATGCCACTGGGTAACTGGAACCGACAAGTATTTCCGGTAGTTCGTTCAAATATATTATACGAGCCTCCGTCAGGTTCTTCGAATTTATCGTCAGTTTGATATTAACTCACGGTAAAAGTTACATGTGGATCACTTTCGTTCAGGCATTTTGCGATCAACGTCGTAATTCATTCATACCGTCTATGATGCACAATTCAATTCTAAGTTCTTTTCTGTCAACACAAGTTACGCAATAGATATTATCGAACTGGTGATAAGCTTTCGATAGTTTACGATAATATCGAACAATTCCGCTGTTCCAGTGGTTCTTCCATCGGTCCACACGATTCGGTCCAACGCGCGAGTTTCGACGGTGCGTATCGGCCTTTTGTACGCCGTGATGCTATGATTCGTTGCGTGCATCCCTGTATACTCGAACGATTGCGAAATGTATTTTAATTGCGCTTGCACGAACCCCTCCCAGTCCCCCCAATACCTCGATTTCTGTTACCATCTCGTCCGAAGCATTCCTATTCGTAATCTCGCGAGCGAACAGCCCCCCCCCCCCTCCGAGTTCCCAAAAGGGAATAGCCCCCTATTTATCGGCCGGCGATTAAACGCGCGAGACTGTGACACCGTAATGAGAGGTATTTCGACTCGATACTTTTAACACGCGATAAAGATGGATACACACGCAAGGCGGGACAAAGAAACATTTTTAACGTGTGTACACGCGTACGTGGAAAGAGCGAGATGCGTGGCTAATGAGGGGACCAGATTCGATAGGTTAGGTAATCATGAACGTCAATCGATTCGAAATCTATGGATTAGAGATCGATTCGTTTCTTTGGGCGGGATTCGTAGTCGCTGCTTATTCTTAAGAAAATGCTTAAGAATAAGTAGTGACTATGAATCCTGACCTTTGTGTGCTGGATTTCGATTTCGTGTAGAAAGTTCTCGGGAGTCATTTAGTATTTTTTTCAGTTATTCTAGAAATTTATGGCGTGTTCGTAAGTGTACTTGCGAATTTGTATGTACTTCAAGCTTGATGAGCGTTGAAACCTGTTCGAGTAAAGTTTCTAACCTCGTCAACTTTGTACGGGCATGTACAATGTGTACTTATAAGTAGTCTGCAGACGTGCGTGCAATTGCCTGTTTAACGGGGATCGATACACTGGAAGATGAATTGAGTAGCAGTTGGTCTGTTTTATTAACAATTTTATTTTATCGTGTTAGAAAGTCTGCAGTCTATTTGTGTATTGTCGCTCTGTACACCTATCGCACGTAATTGTTACGATATCAATAATCGTTTTGCTAGTTTTGGGACTCTTGTTGTAAAAAAGAGGGGCCAGTTCTTTTCAGAAACTTGACGCATTTTTTTTTTTTTTAATAAAATAGATGAAATAAGGATAGTTCCAAGTAAAGTGAAAGTCCCTTTAAACATTTACTACACCAAGCTGTGGTGGACGCCAATAGCCATACACACCAATGGTGTATTACAGTTATTACTCGTTACAATTATTTTTGTTTAAATACGCGTATTTGGTCCCGTCATTAGACGGAGGTATGTACCCCGCATGGATAGTCTTGAGTTTCGTGCAAATGCGTCGGAAATACATTGCCAGTCCCGTTGACGAGGAGCTGCCTCTCGTCCCCATCGAAAGTGTGAGAACGCGCGACGAAAAAGAGAGTGAGAGAGAGGACAACGTTGTATGAAACGCTTTCGGTGTTCTGTGGCAAAACAAGTCAGTCCTATAACGAGGCTAGTATGATAAGCAAAAACCCTTTGCACTCGATGTTTCTTTCGATGTACGTTAAGTAACGGATCGGATTATTGAAATATAAGAAGTAATTTTGAAACTCGGTGGTTACTTTATGTACATACGTTTATTCCTAATCCTTTAACCTCTTGAGGGACACTGGCCCATATTACGATTAGTTTTTTTTTCATCCAAGCATCATTCCAAGATTATAATTAAACATTCACTGGAAAGTTCCCCAACAGAACAGGGTACTCTAGTAAATGATTGTTGTTAATATTTATAAATATATTTAAAGTAAAAGCATCTAAAAAATAAAAAAATATATTTTTTCTGGTCAAAATAAATTCGTCCCTGAAGAGGTTAATTCATCATATCTCTATTACGCAGCGATTATTCCATTCTGCGTTACAATATGTTTACTTTCTTCTTTGATACGCAGCTATACGATCGAACGGTATACGCCGTGTTTAGGCTGTCAAGTGGCCGACTGCCTTTATTCTCGAGGTCGATGACAGGCGGCCATGGTAGCAGGGAAATCAATTGTATTATACTGCTCATGGTCGCGCTGGAGCGGCCTTGGCAGTGACCAGAATATTTCACGGCCGCGACCAATATTTCCAGAAATACACACCGATCCAAGGCTTCGTCGCTGGCGTGGCATTGACCACAGCCACGGTTACGGCATAGGTAAAGTATGTTCCTGACATCACATATTTTTTTTTGTTCCGATAATGCAGATCTTCTTCCGAAAAAACAACGATTCGTTTCTCGGGAAGATATGTACAGTATATGAAAAATAATCTCACCTCTGAAATTTTCGTATCCTACTTATACATACTACGAATACTGATATTCGTATCTATACATAGATACTTCAACTTGTGACGCACATACAATTTCAGACAGTAAAATACATTTTAAATGACTTTTGTCTCACATCTATTAAGTATATAGACCTGCCTTGTTAGGAATGTTATACCGGTAAAAACAATTTAACTCGGCCTAAGAAGGAAACCAGGTGGTAATATGTGTGTAATTAAATACTTACATCTAATAGATACCTGGAACGGTCGACCGTCCGCAATACCCCATCCCTACTCTCTAGATTCTAAAAAGAATCGTGCGAAAATTTGCAGTCTCTCGTGCGCTGTCGAGGTGGTTGGGTGTGCTTCTCACACCCCTCCCCTCTCTTGTTACTAACCCCTTGTATGTTACAGATGCCGGCAACCATTGGCTTCGATATTTATCTTCTTATTTACTGTGTGTTATTTACAGTGATTTATATACTGTGATATATTTACTGTTTGTTTACTTTAGAATTATTTTGAAATTTATTACTGTATTATCATTTTTCTTGACTACGCGAAGTTAGGAATGGTATCGGAGATAGTAATGGGATTAACGAATAACGCAATGTTCCGTTTAACTGTTCTTATTTAAAAAATCGTTTAACATTTGACAGATGGTTTCCAAGAGTGTATGAAAAAAACATGTACTTTAACATTAAAAGAAAGTTTTTTGATTTGCTATTATTATTACTATTAATAATGACTCTTTGACGAATAGTTTACACTCATAATAACAGTACGGCAACACACTATTCTGCTTCCGCTGTCTCGTCTTTTTTATCATGTTTCCTCCATTTCGAAACACTTGCTTCAGGGTATTTGTCAGCAAGGAAACTACAAATGTCTCCGTACTCGGCTCTTAACCGAATTCTTACTTTATCATGGTCCCTACTGCGTTCCATCTTGCGCAAATAATTTTGGTACGAGGGCAATTTAGTAAAAAACGGTGAAATAGGTTTCCTCTCTAGAACCATCCTTCCATCCATTACATATTGTTTAAAATCTATAATCTCGTCTGCTTTAATTTCCTCTTTCGTTCTCGTCGTAGCCGGCGAAGCAAGTACTGTAGGATAATAGTCATTCTCTTTTTTTACTGCGACTAAATGCAACTGTTTTTCATTTGCCAATTGTTGGTATGATTTCTAAAAACATAATTGTTTATTGCACATTAATTTCTAAATTAATGATGGCAGTAATACGAGTTAATTTTAGCGAATGTACCTGCTGTAATAAGCCAATGATGAAAGCCTTAATTATATTTGGACAGTTTTTGGATCCCTCAACTCTAGCATGCAAATCTTTTATACCAATAGCCTCACAGATCGTTTTAATAATACGATGCGCCTTAATCCCATAGCCCTTAGGCATCTGTTTGACAAATATTTTTGTTCGATGGAATTGTGTAAAGAAATCATGAAGAACTGAAACACAAGTGACAATTTCAATCTTATCTTGTCCTATAACTAGCCGCAGTTACTGCAAATAACAATCATTTACCGGTATGATCTTCGTATCGCTCAAAGTATAATATATTCCGTCCAGCTTTATTTCTAGCATGCGTAATACACGATCTGATGTCTGACCCTTGCGCTGATGCAAACCCAACAAGACCATTTTGATTGCCGGTCACAACTGTACACCTGGTCCGTTTTGAACGACCGAAATGACTGGTCATAATGGATGTATTAACCAAGTCTATTACCCAGCTCTCAAATCCGTGAAACGGTTCTAGAAGTGCAAGCAAATAAACGAACTTAAATCAGAGATTTGAAGGGAGACTTAAGGTTCTTAAGTGTAAGCTGCGTTTATTTGGAAAAATTATTCCAATCTATCTGTATCAGTTTACAAAGGGACCCCTGACAAAACTAGCTACAATACCCGTGAAACTTTAGGATAATATTTCTAAAAGGACACAAATTATATCTCAAAGCTTCAGCAGTAACAACTTAATAATTATTGTTACTTATATGTCAACATAGATTTCTCAATTATACAAACCTTCATTGATAGGGTCTGGAGGTCCCAACTTTCTACCACATGGATTTGTGCCATGCCAGCCACGCAACAATGGATGAATTTTCTGTGCTCTGATTTTGGGTAATTCAGTACGTAACTGAAGCAATTCTTTTTCTCTTTTAGGATTTGGAGGAGCCTTGGATTGTGCAACCATAATATTGTCCTCAGTAATAGCCGCATTCAGTCCGGGTAATATCATTTCAATTTTTCCCATTCCAATTATCTGACCTCTATTTAGATCTTTCATTCTTGGTGCCACTTTTCCTCTGCCTCGTCGTTTTCCAGCATTGCTGACACTGGTAACAGACTTCCATAATTGTGTTGCTGGTTCTATATTGCACAAATATCATTGAATGAGATTTAAATCCCAGTTTATTAAAGAGGTTTATCAATGGTTATAGAGTAATAAAGTGTGTACTCACTTTTGTTAAAAAAGTTAACATTAGTCCTGGCACTTTGCACCAATGGAACATGTGATTTTAGCAGACCGAAAACGGAAACTGAAAATAATTTCGCATGAGAAATTGCAGTGATCTCTTACGCGAACAAAATAAAATGATATTAAAGACAAAATGATCAAACAATTATGTTTAAAATAATGATTATATGTTTGGAGGTTATATTACATGAGAGGAAGCAGTAATTCGATAAATGTAAGAATATGACCGCTTATAGGAAGTACCATGGCTTTTAATGTTGTCAAATTTTCCATAATTCCTTATTATTCCGTTAATACGAAGAAATCCACTGGCCATTTCTGTCGAGGGAAAACAGCCCGATTGTATACGTGTGGTCAGAAGGTGTTTCCTTTTATAGATACTCTGTAGATGTCCTTTAGTGTCACATCTTATCGCTTTCAGTCGTTAAAAATAGATTACAATCGATAAAGAAGGATTCGAATGATAATACAGTAGACATTCAATTCCTGCACTACCGTTATCTGTACGGAAGACACGCCCCCCGTTCACACGTGCATATAAAAATTATAGACTTCTCACCTTGCATATGGGAGTTGGTGGCTCACCTAACTGTCGCACCGATACCTTTAATAGCCTGTGATTTTAGGTGCGCAAACGAAATGATCGATGGAACTTTTTCCGTCTATCTCTTTCGTTTGAGTATTAGCGACTACGTTGCGTTTAGTTGAAGTTATTTTGTATTAATAGCATTAATTCGTATTAATTATAATATTAAGATAATATTAGTTCTAAGCTGAAGAACGAAGACAACCGACGAGGGAACTTAGTTTTTTATAGGTT